ATTCCTGCTTGTGCTGTTCTCTCTTATACAGTTTAAAATTAAATTACAATTTAAATGAGTCTCTCAAATATGTTAAAAAGAGACATAACACAATGTCTTAAAGAAAACGGTCAGAACTGGGTCAGGGCTATTCTAGACAAGATCTCTGTGGTGATTCAGGTGTTTCGCCCAAAGGGGTCTCACGAAAAGATTCATCAGGGCACGAGCTACTCAATTTCTTGCTGTGCAGAATATAACTGGTGGCTTGCAGACAAATAAAAACCTATATGCTTTTTTGCCAATCTAAAAATTAAATGATTTTAAAATGCATGCAAAAATGCTTTAAAAGTACTTTCAACATTGGTCTTCTAATACACATTTATAGTTTATAAAGCCTAGTAACAGTCTCATAAAGTTTAAACTTTGTATGTATGGCACAAAATGGCTGTTAGATATACTAACAACCAAATAAAATAAATGTAATGCATTTTATGCATAAAACAAGTGAAAAAAAAAACAAATATTCAAGGTAAAGTGTCTAATAACAAGTCGCAGTATCTGATGCATAAAACAAATTGGCTATTAGATAATACAAATGAGCAAATAGAATAAATTTATTGTGGTTTTTATGCTTAAAACAAGTGAAAAATACCCAATATTCAAGATACATTCTCTGAAAACAAGTCGTATTATCTCATTCAATTTTACTTCTAACATTAATTTATGTTGTTTCAAGGCTATTCAGGTTTTTTTCTGGAAAAGATACCAATCCCAATCCCAATTTTTCAGTGTAAATACCAAGATCAAAGATAAATAGTTTAGATGCAGGAAAAACGATGCACCATAAATACATTTATATAAGCTATTGTTTACAAGCCATTGCTGTTAATCTCGTTTTAAATAAGCCAAAGTTTATCTATTCAAAAGTCCATTAATCAGTTACTTATCTTGTAGATCATTGAGCATCTCTTTATGACCTTAATTAAAGTGCAACAGTGTGTCCATATGGCTGCATCCCCAGAGGCACAGATACACCATGTAACACACAAACTCAATGTTAGTAGGCTGGAGAATTCAAATGTAACATGTTTATCTTGTGTAGTTTGTCTTCTACAGGGATTATGATACAAGATGACTGTCCTTCCACTCTACAGTCTTTGTCATGGATTAGTATCAAGAATGCACTCGAACGTAATTGCGTTGTGTGCAGCAATTCTTATATTTATATAAAATAACATTTTGTTGTTGTACTACTTTTTTAATTTACAGTGATATGAAAGCTCATGGAATTTCTGCTCCCAAAAATCCCCTAAAACTAGGTTTTCAATCCGTGGATCAAGAGGTATCGTCAGATACTGTAGACATATTACACAGAGATCCCATCAAAGCTCTGAGAGGAAGTTGTGTGTTGTTGTGCTCTATTAGAATTCAATCCATTCAATCCCTGACCAATTTCATACAGCAACATTTAATGCCATTTTTTTATTTCGCTACTCCTCGTCCTCCTGGGGTTTGATGGTATCGCATTGTATTTCTGTGACAGGCTTTTGTGGATCTAAAAAAATACAATGTTTTAGTGGCAGAAAAATGTTTTTTTCTTCTCCTCTAAACACAATCCCAGCCTCCTATGCTGTACAAAAACGACAATAATCCAGAAGATCTTTTCCACTAAATACTTTATTTGAGTACTCAGGGGAAAAAAAGTTTTTATAATTTAAAAATAAATAAATGATAAAACACAAAATGATTCATGAAACAACAAAAATGTTTATTTATGTTTATAACAAAGTTATTCTTCTGATAGTGGTTTAGGTTTTGAAATGACAAAAACGACAATAGGAGGTCTTTTTCTACTAAAGACTGTGAGTATCCACAAAAAAAGATTTTCTACTTTGTTTATGATAGTAATAACATAGCTTTTTGTGTGGAACACAACTGTTTAAACGAAGCAATAAAATCTCAGAACGCTTTTGACCTTGAAATGCATTTCTTATTCTCGTTGAGAGTGTTTAATTACTTTTAAAGCGATGCTTTATGCTCTAGTGTGAGAAATGGAAAGTTGGCTTGCAAACTGATAACAGTTGCACAACTGCTTTTCACCGTAAACAAGAGACCACACGTTCTCAGATAATCAGTTGGTGACATTTGCAAAGTTTCATGCTTTCCAGCTGACCCACCTCAGTTCAGTAAAGGTCCGCCAGAATCCAGCTTCTCCTCATGCAGCTTAAGTCATCTTGACTGTGTCAGCACAGAAACACACTGTCAAGCAAGAGAAGAGATAGTAAATATATTCAACATTGTAGGTTTAAATCTGAACAGTTCAGAGCAAAACCATGTTTTATTCACTAACCACTCACAATCCAGTTTAACCAGATGCTGTATGTGCCTGCGCTTTGTCTTTGTGTCCAGTGAAAATAAAAGATTAGCAACATTTCATTGTTAGTAAATTTCCCCCATGACCTTCAAATAAATTTGTAGTCCTAAAAAACACATGGAAATGAGTTTGTGTTGGCAGTTGCTCCAGTGGGGTTTAAACATGAGCGAGCAGGAAACTGTGTCACATGCACAGCTCTACAGAAGGATGCAAACGGATATCGCAAACAAATCGGGTGACTGAGTGACATTACCGACTGAGTGACATTACAGAGGTCATCTTTGTTTAAAGAGGAAAATGCACTGGACATTCTGCCACTTTAAATGTGACTGTAAATGTTATGGCTACTTTGGCCTCTTTCATAAATAAAGTATGTGGGGCAAGTTGTCACAAGGGCTATATCTCCTTTGTGACAACTTGCCCCAGTCTCTCTTATATATGAAAGAGGCAGAAGTAACTGTAACATTTCACTTATATTTAAGTTTTAATTTATTACATTTAATTTATTTATCTGTTGGTTAAAACAAATAGTTTCCTATTTTTGTATGTTACCTTTAATTTTTAAATGTTTAAATGTTGCTGAAAAACCTATAATAGGCTTTTTATAATAAAGCAGTCCTGCCCTCTGATAATCACAGAAATTTTTTTTTTTTTTTTTTTTTTTAAAGAAATTCATACTTCATTAAGCAAAGACACATTAAATTGATCAGAAGGCATAGTAAAGACAATTTTAAGCAGCACAACTGTTTGCAATATTCATTATAATAAAAAATGTTCCTTGAGCACCAAATCAGCATATTATTGAATGATTTCTGAAGGGTCATGTGACTGAAGATTGAAGTAATGCTGAAAAATTAGCTTTGCCATCACATTAATAAATTATATTTTAAAATAAATTAAAGTAGAAAACTTTATTAAAAGGTATTTTAAGTTGTAATAATATTCAACAAATATTTCTATTTTTACTGTATTTTTGATCAAATAAATGTAGCCTTGGTAAGCATAAGAGACTCCTTTTAAAAAAAAATAAAAAAAAGGAAATTCTTACTGACCCAAACCTTTGCATGTTAGTGTATGTGTCTATGTAGAAATTAACTTCAAAAAATAAACTCAGAGTCTTGTCTAAATAAAATGACTTTTCAGATAAATGTTAGCAATATTTACTTGAAACATCTTTTAGAGCTCTGATAAGTGTCATTTATCTGATTATCTGAAATGTCTTATTTTGACATTTTAGTTACTTGCATTCTCTTCACTTGGTTTACTTTTAGAAAGCGTCAATCTCAGGTGGAGCTGTTTTACATGTTTATTGCACCAGATGCTCCCCTTTCAACTACAAAGCCTCTATTCGTTTCCCCAACAAATAATTTTTGAAAAACATGTCAATTCCCATGAAGCAGAAGGATGAGTCAGATATGTGCCCGGGTGACCGGCTGCTGACGAGACTCAGTTTGCTAAACCAGGACAACAAACTATCAGTACTGATACAAGTGATTCACTATCCTCACAAATGTCATTAAAATATGATGTACAAAAGGAGCTTAGTGCTGAGATGGTTGAATTTAGAGTTTTGGTAATCCACATACTGAATTCATTCTCTGTCAGTGGAAGCTGAGAAATCGGTGGAGAAAAAAAACCTGGTGAGAATGTCAAATGTGTTTTTGACTTGGCTGTAATTGCTCTCAGCCTGATTTAATCTCAGCCAGCATGCATTTGCCTTGACAGTAATGATCCAGAATAATCCTGATACAATCACTCATATCATTAGTGTGCGTGTCGATCTTGCTAGCTGTGATATATAGGGAAGAAAGCCCAGCTTGGATGAGTACGACTGCTCCCGTCAAAGATGTAGCTCAAGATTTTGAAAGAGACAAACAATGACAGACTTAAAGTGTAAGCTTATGTCCTCCTCTGATCTGAGGCTGATTTGTCTCTGTGCTGTTCACTCAGAAAAACCCGAAGCCAAAGTGACTAAGAGCTCGCAAACACATACATAAGACAGTGACCTTGCGTTAAAAACATTCAGGTTAAAAATGTCAAATTCTTTTTTAAATACATGTTCTTAGTCTCTTTGATGTCAAACAAAATGCTTGTATTTTACATTTTTAAAAAAGTGTACTTTCGCCTGTATTAAAGCCTTTATTTTCGGAATTATTTTTTCCACGTTTATAAAGCAAAAACGATCCATGGCTGAACACCAACGGATGAGATCTTTAACTGATGACTTCATGTGACTCTGGTTAATTCCCTTGATATTATTACAGTTCTTATAATAGAGGATTTTTTTGTCCATCAGTTGAGCAGGCTTTGTGGCGGCTCTTTGATCACAACAGCTTTGAGTCCAACTGTGCTGATCAGTCGTTTCAGATGATGTCACCAGAAAGCAGTCTTAACTGAGTTAGCAGTAGGCCTGTCACGATAACTTTTTGTTGTGCGATATATACGAGAAGCTGCAAAAGACACAGGCGCAAGTGGAATGTACAAAACATGGTGAAATTAATTTTTAAGTAAATATAATGGCCGATATATTGCATCACCAAAAATTATTGCGGTCATGTACATATATTGCGCGATAAGTCGACATATTGATTATTGCGACAGGCCTAGTGAGCAGTTCAGCACTGCCTTACTTAAAGCACTGATTCAGGTGACAAACCTTGTGATGTTTATGTAGATCCATAAGCATAGGGTGCATGTCTATGGAAATATGTATTGTTATTGAGGCCAGGGTATTTATAGTTAACTAGAACTAAAACTAAAACCATAAAATGTTACTTGAAATAAAATCTCATTTATTTTTTAATTTTTCATGTAGTTGCCAAGGCTACATTTTTCATTTTTATTTAGTTTAACTTAATGTAATAAAATAACTGAAATTAAATCTAAAAGCTATATAGACACATTAAAAAGAATGTCACCCAAAGATGAAAATATGCTGAAAATTCACTCACCCTTAGGCCAGCCAAGTTTATTTATTTATTCAAACAGATTTTGATAAATGTAGCATTACATCACTTGTTCACCATTGGATCCTCTGCAGTGAATGGGTGCCGTCAGAATGAAAGTTCAAAAAGCTATTAAAAACATCACAATAATCCACAAAGTAATCCACACGACTCCTAAAAGCTACGTGTTTGTGATGAACAAATTGATGATTTTTAACTTAATCAATTTGTTTTTAATTAAAACTGTTGTTTACAGCTAAAATACGAGTCCTTTGTATATAATATTGCTTTCTCCAGTGAGAAAGCCATCTTGTCTGAATCAGAAGAGAAATATGCATACAGTAGGTCAAGCACTGTTTACAAGCACAAACAGTCTAAAACAGCTCCAAACAAATATGACTTTTTCACTGGAGGAAGTGTTATTATGAATTATGGACTCGTATTTTGGCCAGAAGTGACTGTTTCAAATTAAAACGCATTGGATTTGTTTCTTACAAACACAGAGCTGTTTGCTTTACAAGATGTTAATTGAGAGTCATGTCGATTACTTGTGGATCATTGTGATGTTTTTATCAGCTGTTTGGACTCTCATTTTGGCGGCACCCATTCACTGCAGAGGATCCAATGGTGAACAATTGATGTAATGTTAAATTTCTCCAAATCTGTTCTGATGAAGAAACAAACTCATCTTGGATGGCCTGAGAATGAGTACATTTTCAGCAAAAAAATGTCACGTGGTTAGTGCGTTGATTTACAGCTCCACTGCGCTCACGGCGACCGAAGTTTGATTCCCATCTCGAGGTCCTTTGCCGATCCTGCTCTCCTCTCTTCACCCAATGCTTTCCTGTCATCACTCTACTGTCCTATCCAAATAAAAAAAGGCATAAAAGCCCCCAAATAACTAAAAATAAATAAAAATAAAATAAAACCTATAATAGAATCTCAGTGATACGAAAACAACACTGACTGAGACTTTTTTTTGTTACTACTTGGAAGGCAGTAGCATTGAGATCAATGATTTTCTTTCCTTTGCCCCCTAAGGTCAGTGCGATGCATGCAAACTGTCACTTTCTGTATGAACTGCAGATGGCTGAGAAGGAATGTTTGGGCATGCTGGCAGACCAGCTGCCTCCGCACACTAAAGGTACTGTATTACGTTACATCATCTTCTAAATCCACTTACAGCATCCGTTATGTACAGTATTTTGAATGGCCAGAATGTGAAACAGCAGTTCACTAGGCAATCTTTGAAAGATGTGTAGTGTTGTGTGTATTTGTGTCATGTTCCCCATAAACAATAGAGTGAAAGAAATGTGAATGAGCTCTCGCCATATTGTTTGTCCTACATAATCATTTAATGTCTCGTTGTTTTTCTGTTGGCATGCAGTGTTTGCTCTGACAGATGTAGAATCACATTTACTGTTGACTGATAGTGGTTCAGTTGCAGCTTTTAAGGTCAATGTTGAATTAGATATTTATATTGTCTGGATTGGACATGACCCACATATGGAAGCCCGTTTCCTTCTTAGAGTAACTTTGCCTCACAATTGTGACTTAATTTCTTGACTTTCTTATTTTAAACTTTATCTCACAATAATCTTTTTAATGTTTTTGAAAGAAGTCTCTTATAGGCTTCATTGATCAAAAACAGTAATATTGTGAAATCTTATTACAATTTAAAATAACTGTTTTCTATTTTAAAATGTAATTTATTACTGCGATGGCAAATCTGAATTTTTAAGTATCCATTACTCCAGTCTTCACTGTCACATGATCTTTCAGAAATCATTCTAATATGCGGATTTGGTGCTCAAGAAACATTTTCATTATCAGTGTTAAAAACTGTTTTGCCACTTAGTATTTTTTGTGGAGCCTTATACATTTTTTTAGGATTCTATAATGAATAGAAAGTTCAAAAGAACAGTATTTATTTGAAAGATAAATCTTTTGTAGCATTATAAGTCTTTATTTCCACCCACTTTTGATCAATTTATGTATCCTTGCTGACTAAAAGTATTAATTTATTTCAAAGAGAAATCTTAAAGACCCCAAACATTTGTATGTGATTTTATACTTCATAAAGTGATTTAACCAAACCAAATTGATCAAAGTGAGCCTGGATGAAGTAACAGAAGATCAGTGTTGGGGAAAGTTACTTTTAAAAGTAATGCATTACAATATTGCGTTACTCCATAAAAAAGTAACTAATTACGTTACTTAGTTACTTTTTATAGAAAGTAATGCGTTACGTTACTTTTGCGTTAGGGTTGTGACGGTGAGGAAATTTTCCCACCGGTTAATCGACGTGTGACAACACCGGTAATATCGGTATCACCGCAGGGGCGGGGCGTTCCCTCTTTTTCTAGCTTTCCTTCACTTTTAAATAGCTTGTAAAAGCGGCGTGTGCATTTTACTTTCACTTTTGAATTAGCGGCAGTTAGGCGTCAATTGCTTGAATGCAACAACAAAATACAACGTCAAACTCACTTTAGCCTATATATAAAACATATAACTTTTATTAACAAAACAAATACAAATACACCATGCTATAGGGCAGGCTATGCCTAATATAAAATAACAAATAACTTACATAAAGTTTAAATAGGTATACAAAACAAAATAGGCTAAGTAAACATGTATAATAACCAAATAAATAAGAAACGTAGAACGTTTATTAGCAAAACGAGTAAGAAAGCTTGGAGGCACGGCATACACCTTGATGTCAAATAAAATAAATAAATGACACAAAGTTGAAATAAAGTAAAAATCAGCAATAATGTGGAACCAATTAAATAAGAAACGAATGTTTAAAAAAAACTTCCAAAATCACCTTAGATAAACGGCAAAAGTCAACAGGCTTTTCAAAATCCAAAATATTGCCAAACAACAGGCGCTTTTGCGTCTCATTTCGAAACTAAATCATCCGCCATCGTCTTGTCTGTCTCACCTCAC